TTAAAGTGGTTACCTACTTGCCCAATTTTTTCTTTACTTATCTATCTGTGTGAAAATTTCCACTATGTCATGCGCTTTCTAATAAGTTAGATTCTATTTTAGTCAACACATTTTAATTGTATTTCAATACAAATGCTGTACCTTTCGAATGATGTATATCTAATATATTTCGATCTTTAACGAATTGAAAACATATATTTCATGACCTAAAGAAAAGCTAAATTTGAGGAACAGTCTTGCAGCGTATAAAGTTATAAATGCTCGTTCTTAACCAATTTTTTGCCCAATTGAAGAAAACATAATGATATTTTGTCGTGACTTTTATTGTCCGATAAATATGTCTGGGATGCTATGAAGTATTTGGTTAGCTTAGCCCTCGCCCCCCCCCCCAAGCTCCTACCCAATCTTGTCAATATCTATAATAATATGAAAATAACTGCATCGTTAGGTTAGGTTTTTCGCTCGCGGACGCGACTAAATGATAAATCATGTCGACAAGTAAAACTGAGAGATATTGACCAACGAGTGAATGGTTACTTGCTCAGACACGTATCAATTTTCCACAATGTCGTTATCACGCCGAATAAATTATAACAACAATACGCACTTAAATTACGCCCGCGGAATACCGATGATGGACGGCACGATATATAGGTCTGCCACGTGCCAGGGAACCTGATATTATAATAATATATTATTTATGTTGGGTCGAAAAGGAGGACGGTGAGGGATCTATAGTAATAACACACGACGTGTCTACTCGATTAAACGATTCGGATGTATTATTATTTTATGCTATTATCATAGTATCGCATCGAAATATAGGGTTCAGAGATGACGTGAGCAGCTTTTTCTTTTGGGAAGTGATAAACAATAATATTTTATTTTGTTGATGGTAATAATTAAATACAGATACAATCAATGTACATACTTAGTAGTTATTTAATTAATTTAGGAGTAATTAATTATGTCTGAATGTAAGGGGTGGCTAACTTGTATATTAATGATTATTATCATATTTTTCCGAATTGTGCAGGTAGGAATAAATTTTCAAGTTTAGGCCACGATTAAGGATGCATGGATAACACTATTTTTACTCATGGTTTAGAAGTATAATATTTAATGTTATAAAAAATATTCCTAATAATACCACTTGATTTAATATACTCGTATCAGGTTGAATAGTCAAATAGTTTAAAGAACACGATTCACATTAAATAGATAGTTTAGAAATATAAGAAATGAATAAAAATAAAATAACAACAGTTGAAATATTGTAAATAATATTGTTCTAAATAATTTCTTAAAAGTCTTTGTAGTTGGGTTTGTCAGTTTGTGAGCGCTGTATATTGTCTTGAATAATTTGTTTTCATGCATTTTCAGGGTCGTCGACTCAGTGCGTCCGGTTTTCAAAATTGTTCCATTTTAATTGTCCACGTACATCCTAAGTGTTATTTGATGATATTTTTTGTAGACCCCGACTGCGTCCGTTATAATTGTGGGTACCATCATTGAATTAATTCTTAATTTTATTCACCTCATCCGCTTTATGTATTCATTTTTAGAAATATTAAAATAACTAAAATAGATTCATTAATTTATACTCAATCTTTTTATCAAATAGGTACAACAAAATAATAAATCAGTGAACTAGAAAAATTTAACATTCATTGAGGACAATATCAGAAAATTAGAAACACGGTGATAATTACAAAATTTCATTTTTTTATTTAGATATTGAATCAACCAAAGACGAATTTGTGATGTACGTTCTAATGAAAACAAAATTATAATGACAAAATCCTAACTTAAAAATGAAAATCACTGAAAAAGAACATTTTTGGAGGTAATTGAGTTTGCCTCCTTGTGATACTTGGAGATGCAGTTAATTTAAACTGCGACAAACACGGACTACGTCGTTTTTTATTTGGGATACATGATACGAGTCATACCATTTTTATGAATGCACTCGGATGACCCCCCCCCCCCCCCCAATGGGTACCAATTTCTTGTGCACAACACTGCAGGCTGTAAAAGTGTAAACCACAATAAACAGACGCTGAATCACATCTAACAGGTGCTTAGAACTATCTAAACAAAAATCCACTTTCCTCCGCGGTAAACTGCAGAATTGGGGCAGAAAGTTAAACATAAAACAGTATAAAGTAACTGACAGGTAATTGAACGGGTACTTAAAGATTTTTTTATATTGTCTGATAGTAGTAGTTATCAACAGAATAAATCGGTACTGCGTGTCGGCGCAATGTGGGCGGTGATAACAGTTGTCAAGCTACGATATTGTACATCACATTATACACCTCCACGAGCAAGCAGGTAATTTATTGTTTCGCGGCCCGCCACCTCGTCTCGTCACCACGGCCGACATATTATTATAATATTTTTTTTACACTTTTATAGGTTTATAGTTGCGCCACTGCAGGTACCGATATATACCTAACATTACAGTTTATAGTACAACAACAATAGTATAATTTATGCCGGAAAAACGAATTCGGTAAAATGAAGTCTCTCCGCCGGTCACCTATACATACCTAATGCATACATATTCTAATATAATACCATGTGTATATAATATAATGCTATAATCAAACACACATACCTAAATATAATATCACATGTAGATATTATTTTATTATAATAATAATAATGTATACTGTTATAATAAATAGGCGCGCGCGGAGACCACCTGCGCCGCATTCTTGTCACGCCGTCAATTTGTCGCCGTTCAACACAATTCGCGGAAATGAAACCGTCGTAATATAATAATATTATAATAATCGATACTACTCGAGTTCCGCCAATTTATCGGTTTTCACTAGTCCAATCAGCCGGTAAAGTGTTCGTTGACAACACGTCAAAAACGGCCGAGCCGACGGAGCGTCCATTATTAAATAGGTAGGTATGTAGTTACTTGTTAGCAGCAGGTATCGTTTTTTAGTTAAACGTCGTTTATTGTATATTTGTATAGGCGGAAAATCGGTTACGTCAAATATTTGTTATTTCTTATATGTCGAGTATTATAATACCCGTATGCGTTCGGTTCGTAAACGTGTTAACTAAAATACGTGTGAGTATATAATATACTAATAAAATATTATAATGTAACGTTACATGTATACAATATGTGAACAGTAATGTATTTCGCTAGATTTGTGCGTGGCTTATATTTTATACGAAACAATTGACGAACATATTACCGAGTTATTATATATATTATTGTATTAGTAACTAATAAATTATAGGTCTAGGCGTCGGAGATTATATATGTATATTTCAGATTTATCTAGCGAGTAGTAACTTAAAGTTGATCGATTATAGTTTCAGTGGGTAGAATATTCGTTCACTGAAAAAACATAATAATATAGGTATACATCAAATGCTATACCTATACAGCACTTTTATTCTATACTCGAGTATTTCTAACCATTAAGCCTATTATAAATTATATACCGAACTTTCCCAAATAGATTTTCCGAAATATGAGCATATGACTTAAACGAACAACGGGAAACAATAAATTATATTATTTATTACAAAAAGGTCTAATAAATATTATTGTCATAAAACAAACACATAAATAATAATAATAATAATGAAAAAAAAACTTTCGATTTAAAACTGTCTTCTGTTATATTTTGTCTTCATAGAATTCCTTTTTATATATTACGATTCTTTGGTGGTTTTTTAAATATTACGTCTTAGCCCTTTAAAGTTATAGCTGAAATATTCAAGTTTTCTCCTACCGAAATAAAAGAGTTATATAAAAGTAATAAGGAAGACTGATAGACGCTTTATACAATCGCGTACGACTGCAGTGCTGTATTATTATACTATTATTGCACATAGCCTCATAGGTATATATACCTACGTTTAGGTATACTATGGTTATGTCTCGTAACGATAAACGTAAAAGTTAAATAGCGTTTAAGTTTCTCCCAGCGTTAAGCTATACAATTTAATTTTTATTTGAACTCTACTCTTACCTAATAAATGTGCATTCATTCCTTGCCTCAAAAGTTAAAATATAATATATCATTTCGATTCGAGGCGATAAGCGTATGCGCATACTGTAACACACGATTTCCTGTGGCTAAGGTAGGTGCATACGATATTAACATTATAATATAAGTACTATATGGTATTATGGTCTACGACGATCTGTGGTTGGGCAAAATATAATATAATATATTATACTCGAATATAATATATTAAATCCGCATATAGGCACACACACAATAACTCAACCACCTGCAGGTTTGATATAAATTATAACAGTAAGATTTGTACGTGTCATTTTAGTTTGTTTTGTTGTTTTTATTTGCAACCATTTTTCAAGTATAATCTAAATTTATTGTCTCGTGTAAAAAACAAAACACGATCTTGTAGAAATTAGTTTCAATGGTTAACCAAATTATTGCTTTACCTACCTACGCACTTTGTCAGTGGCGTACCTACAAGGATTTTTTTTTTTACACTCGATAGATAATTACTTTTTTATTTGGTCTCTGCATACAACTATACTTTATTTCATAACCGACAGATTACTTACAAAGTTACAAATATATTGTATGCAGACAAGATACTAGCAAAGTACGGGGCTGGGGGTAACTGGGTAGCCACTATGTAGCTACTAATGTAATAAATACTAACCTATCCTGTATAGGTATACGTAGGTACCTAATATTTGAATAAAGTGTTTTGTTAAATTTCTGAGTACTCACTCAATTAATAATTTTTTAAAGTATCTATTTCATATTACAAAATCGATGTCTGATAATGTCAATATGCTAAGACCTAGATACAAAAATATTTCTTAACTTTTTATTTCAAAGGAGGAATTGGATTCCCCCACCCTGTTTACGTCTCTGCTACTTCTATTATTATACTATTCTAATATTCTTGTACTGGTTTTAGTGAATGACAACATACACCTATATAATTATTTGATTTTAGTTAAATTCAATATGTATTATACTTACAGATTTTTGATATGTTTCTTGTGCATTTTGATCTGTAGATGGTTATATCAGTTAATGAATAAGTTCCTGAAACGAAAAAAAAACACTTTGTTAGACATTTAAGTGATCAACTTGATAATAATATACAATATGTAGTGAATATTGATCGCTGTGCAGGACACGAACCATTCATATGGACATCACTTCGTTTTTCAGCGGCTATTTTATGATTACCTACTGGACGTTATGTTAATTAGTTCCTAATTTTTAAAAGTTTCAAAACCAAACACGAAAAAAATTAAGTACACCCATCTATAATAACAATATAATTGATTAGTTGGTGCTAACTGGTTATTCTGCTGCAAAATTACGACGAAACATTCAATCAGAAGTATATACCCACAGTAAATAGGAACTTACATTCTTATCCTGTAATTACACGCTGTATGTATACTTATGTCGGGAGCTGTACAAGGCAAGTAAGCTACAACTAAGCTATACCTATACAAAACACCTGTTGCTTATGTTTTATGTACCTTCCTATAAGCTATTATATACGACATTCGTGTATAGCATAAAGATAAATCTGTAGCAATTGTTTTATCTGAGATTTTATGAAAAAATTTTAATTATTTCGTTATTATTTTTTTTTACAATCAAACAGGATTGAAAAAAAAATACTCGTGACTCGATTTATACATATATCGTAGGTATTCTATGTGTATAAAGTGCATACAAATATAAAATGTTCTTTACATAATAATATTATTGTGTTTCTATCTCAGGGTATTATTTTACCATGGACTTGTTATTAATTAATAGGATAATTAGGAAACGTCGTGTACAATTATTGAACACGATAAACTATCAACCTATATAGTTACGCATTTAAAGTGACTTTATAAAAACGAAATCAAAACTTCACGGTTAGGTTAGGTAAGTATAAATATTTATATTTGATGAATATTATTAGTACATAATTATACATATTATTATTAGGTAGGTATAAGGTTTAAACTTAAATTTCTTAAATCTGCAATGGGATTTCTCCGTTGATAAATTAAATGCTTATTCGACATTAATATTCATTTTACACCCATAATAAATAACGATTGGTGTATAGGTACGTACTTCAATTCTAAACAGAAATCGCATTACGTAGTTTTTCAGTTTTTTTTTTGAAAATGGTATGCTTAATTTTTTTTAAGGCAAAGAAAATACCTACATAATTCTATCAAATAACGTTGCTTATATTACAATGATTTTTTTTCCAATCTAAAACAATACAATACTCTACCCGGCGTGCCGTAAGGAAAAAAATCAATACTAATTACTATAATACTGTTAGATAATATCAGACTGAATTCGGTCGTGCACGAAACAACCAAAATACGAATCATTTGGTTGATTATAATTTTTTTTTGTACCGGTGAACCTACCACCTGATGTATATAATACTATACAGACATATATCACGCCTGAAGTCCTATACCCATAATACGCCGTATATAACCACACGAAAGGGAAAACTCTATAATTTTGGTAGATCGAGAATCTGAATGACGCATTGGATAATATATGATATTAAGATATATTTTACCATTACTATTGAGTACTGGTTTATGGACCTATGCCTAGGTACAAGGTACTATAATATTATAATACTCTTTATTCGAGTCGTATACTGTACATATATGTATGCGAGATCTTGTAACGATCTTGTTTTAACACCAAATGTGTTGTTGCGCACGAAGGAAATCGCCCTTCATAGATTCAACATATTCTATGAATTCGAACACATTTATATCCGTATAATACGTGCGTCTGTAGACTATGATTGGCCTCACACAAAACCGACTTATATCTCCTTCGATTTTAAATTGTGTAAGAATATAATATTTTTCTTTCGTGATTATAAAAAGTTTGATACTTGTTGTGTTATATTTTATAGGCATTGCTCGATTGTGATAATTGTGACCATCATAATGATTGATAAAATATTAACAGCAGCAATGCCACATAAGTTGATTAAAAAGAAACTATTTTAAGCGGAGAGGCAAACCAATTAATTTTACTAATGAATGTCAAATATTATTGATGCATGATTTGTTTTTAAAATTAATTTTCTATACAACCACTTTTTTGAGCAGCTTAGAGTTTGGAGCCGTAGAAGTAGGTATACCACATAATGTTTCAAACAGAAAAAGTCTTCTAATAGCCTCTTAATATTATATAGTTCTGTAATATAATCCAAAGTTCTCATTAGTGGTCGTTTTTGAAATATTGCGTAAATAACAGAAAATCTACTGAAAAAAAAATGTTATCTAAGACAGTAAAACGTCACTTACATAGTTATATGTTATGTCAATACAAAATCATTGGAATCGTTTCGTTGCAGTTCAGAAAACAATATAGGCAATTTGTGAGGCTTGAGAGATCTTCGACAATTACTGTATATTTCTCCGTAAAGAAAGAATTACAATATAATATATTATTCGAGTATTTTCTTGATTTAAATATTTTGTGATTTGAGTAAAAAATTTTAAAAGTATTTGTTTTATAAAATCAGTTATGAATTGGCTGGTATAGCTTTTTATCACGCTATTTCAGTATTATCAGCAAAGTAAACAATGCCCGAAACATTAAGCCTTCAAATATAATGACGGTATTTCTACATGAAGAGAAGAAAGTAAATATCGCTAGAAAATATGATTACCGAGGGTATCATACACACCACATATATTGTATAATACAATGTACATATAGGGTTGAAAGTTTCGTGAAATTTATTTTCTTTAAATACTTCATGAAACTTTTGAGAAATATATTTTCATTTATGTGAAAAATAAAAATAAAAAAGATTGGTTACTACCTTTACCTATCTAAAAGTTTAAAGTCATAAATTCGTGAACTCACGGCAAGAGAACATTTTTAAAAGTTGTTTTATTGTATCGAATACTCATAAATAATTGCCAACAGAGGGCACAATTGATAAGTGATAAATTAACCGATAATATAATAATATGTCATATCACTTGTATATAATTTATGAACATTAACGTAGTAATACGTAAACACTGCTTGATAATAAGTCATTAAATCAATGAGTCATTCATTATCGATATTTTCTGTGTGTAATCAATAACCATTTTTAATCCTCCGAATAAAAAATACGAATTACCGAAAACGAAATAAACGAATACGTTTAAATGGAAAACATTTTTTTTCTTAATAATTTCATTAGAATTGTTCAAAAAGAGTAAAATTTAAAACTTTTAAATAATTCAAGAAGAGTAATATTTTCCATATTTTGAAATATTTCAATTAAATAATGTCAAGTAAATTATTTGAAATTCAGAACCGTTAATGTAGGGGTGTTTCCCCCAACACTATAGTGGTGTACAATACAATAGGCCAGTGGTGGTTCTAGGGTTTGATTTGAGAAGGGGGGGGGGCATAAACATCACATCATTTTTTGTAGATATTTGATAAGTACCCTGTATATAGAAAAAATACAAATTTCTAATTATTCAAAATCAGTGTTTTATTTATAACCCACATTAGCCATTAATCTTATTAATTACTTCATTGTGACAATCGTAATAATACATGTAAGTTCATACTAACAATATTATTAACCTTAGAGCATATCTATCAGAATAAATTTAATTTTTATTTTACTTAAAAGTGTTTTAATTTTAAAAGTAATAAGTGAATCTACTACTTATACAAAAATTGTACAACAGTCCAAGAATAATTTTTTTTATGATATTCAATGATAATTTGTTTTTAAAATTAATAATCTAAAGTTATACAATAGAATATACCTATTGAAATAAAATAAAGAGTTGAGTAAAAAAAATATTAATCAAAGAAATTAATATGTTGAAATAATACGTACTATTACAATGTAATATAAAATAGTGGTTACAGTTTTGGTTATCGTTTCAGTAGTCACAGTTGGTCGTCTGCTCACATAAAATCGCCTTGGTGAAATGATCCGAAACTACAAGTACCTATATTGAAACAATGACTTTGAATGCTACAGTCAACCAAATTATAATTATAATTAGAGAACTCGTGAGTTCTCATTGGAAAACCAAGTACTACTACACGAAAATATAAGATAACGACTCTATCTAGCTCGGTTATTGATCAATTATTTTAATCATATTATAATCATATTACGAAGTATACTATGCGTACATATACATATTAATAAATAGTCGATTTTTTGAAAATGTTGGTATGTTTCTAAATATTGACATATTAACTAGTTGTTTCTGAGTCATTAAATTTTATATTCGTACTTAGAATAATAGTCCGTGATAATAGGCGTATATGATGTAAATAAGTTAATAATGATTTCAAAATTATAGTAATTATTACTAATCAATCAATATTAAGATTGTTTTGAGTAAAATAATCGCTGAACTAAGTGGTAGGTACGTCATGTATTTTATGTAATTATATTTTATTTAAAACCATTAAGGACTACTATATCTTTATGTACAGTTAAAAAGTCGTTCCGAACTCGATGACATTTAATAAAATCATCGGCTTAACAATTTTGCAGAAGTGATGCCCAACACTATTTCTTCGGCGGCCACTATTTATTACCATAATAAAATTATATGCATTCGATCAGGCCACTTATAATAATAAATTGGAAAATATCTTGGAAATAATTGTATTCTTTTTTCATATTTTGCACCGTGGTCTGTTAGCACATTAGTGTAGTAACTCTATATTTGATGATTGTGAGTTACACATGTTTTTATTGTAGAAAATAAAGCATTATTTACAATACACTAGTCACTAGTGTATTATGTCTTATTGGAAAAGTTGAATGAGTCACCTGTATAATATAGTATACCTATGCTATTATGATGAATCGCGGTAAAAAAGTCCTAGGAAAAAAAGTCTGAAGCATAAAAAGTCCGCCGTAAATAAGTCCTAAGCTTAAAAAGTCCGGAGTAAAAAAGTCCGAAATATTATAATATATACATGACAATATTTATATTCAATGATTATAATTGTGTACTTAGTTGTTAGTATAATAACTAAAAAAAAAATTGACATAATTA